CAAAATCATGTATATAATAGTGTAAATTTTCATATTATGAGTTTTTAACCAAAAAAAAAAAATCATAACCTTTAAAATAGAGAATTATGGGTGCCCAAATCTCTTATGATGGAGCCAAACTTTGTATATGAGGTCGGTGGTAATGGTCAAGAAGGTTCTCTCAAGTGTATATAAGTAGTAGAGTTCGTGTCTAGCATCAACACACCAATCATCTTTCTCGAATTCTGGCCCAGAAAGTTACAGCAAAGAGAATGAAATTTTATTTGTAGTTCAAGTTTTGAGATAATTTATTTATTTATACAAAATTAGTGCACAATTAAGGAACATGTATCATATTTTTTAAGAAAATAGTAGGACTAAACTTAATGTTCCATTTGCCTACAATAATATCTAAGGAATCGTTTGCAATGATAGTCTTCTATTACTTATATAAAGAATACATGTATTAAATAGTTCATAAATATTTGTCATATGATCAGTGGATCTTGAATCTATAATGCAAAAATTTTCAAGGGTTTATCTAAAGCATTCGTACTGTTTGAAAAAAAAAGTATACTTGAGTATTTTATTATACTTTTACCTGTAACCTTCTCAAGGTTCTCTAATCAATTTCGCAATCATTCATCTCAGTCTTAAAAGTAGTAAGATTAGTAGGTGTTATTCTTCCTGTTGTTATCCATATGAACTTATTTAGGAATCTTTTAGGAGATATTTTTGTATCTCCATTTTTGGGGGAGGTATTAGGTTTGTCATGTAGTTTCCAACACTTATCTTTGGTGTGTTTGAGTTTTTTTTACAAAAGATAAATCAAAGATTATCCCTGTTATTTATCTATGGAGTTACATTCTTAGAGTAACTTATTACTTTTGATTACTAACAAGGTTTGGTGCCTTATGACATCAGTGAGTTACTAGAGGAGTGAGATTCTAATATGACATCTCTTATACTTTTTTATGATGTTACGATGAAAATTACCTCACTAAGTGATGACATTTCCTCTTTTTCCTATATTTTAATTCATACTTGATCATACTTTATGTAATACCCAGATCCGAAATTTGGCCAGAATAAATTTTTTTATTTATAAAGTATATATAAATAATTAAAAATATTATTTTAATTTAATTTTATTGAATTTTTTGAAAAAATAAGTTAGGGACAAAGTTGAAAGTAATTTATGGGGGTGTTTTTGAAAGAAAAATAGAAACAAGGGTTAAAATATATAAAAAAAATTTGGCTATATAGGACGGCCCAATCAGCAGCAACGATGAACCCGAGCATGCTGCGTGGCAAAACATGCTAACATCAGCGCCATGCGGGAGGCCACATGAGCAATCCGCGTGCCTAGCGATCCAACAGTCCAAATTTAATCCCACGTGCGTGAATGACTTAGATGTATTCCCTCTTTAGGCGTGATTGAATAGACGAGATCAATCGCGATGACGGCTTAGATTCTCCCACACAATCGGGTTAAACAGGCAATGATTGGATGATTCTCCTTGCTACACGTCGACGCGAATAGACGGCCCAGATCGACGCGGGATAGGTATTTAAATATCGCATAGCAGGAGAACTCTAACCCTAGCCGCACCTACCATCGCCAGAGAATGAGATAGACCCCAAGCCGCTGCCATATCGGAGCCACCGTTGACCGCAAAAAAAGGTAGAATTCTCTCCTATCCACTCAGAATTCGATTATGAGTCTCTCTATGGTTATATCAGAACAAAAGGGATGACAGGTGAGTCGAAAACTGTGGGCAAAGCTCGTTGGAGCTTTCGTGGCCGAAATCTTAAAACTCCTATGATGAGCTCATTTCTATTTTTCGTTTCACACAATTTTTTGACTATTGTATTCACCGTCCTTTTCTGTGCAGATTAGTCGAAGAAGAACTCCAACCGTGAAGGAAAACTGGCAGACTCGCCGCACCTGGAGACCCCCCTGATAGATTTGGTTTCTTGTATTTTTTGGTCAACCGATGGCCCCTAACGTGTTTTTTTGTAGGAATACGTGTAAAACCAGCCAAATTTGGCCAGGCCGAGATGAACCATGACCGTGGGTGATAGAGCCGGCACTGAAGCACGGTGGTGCTGCCGTACTGGAACCCTAAAATTGGCCTGAAAGGATTTTTAACACCGATTTTGAGTTTTTGAGGTATTTTTAAGTATGTGACGAGTATTTTAGATTTTCGCAAGAAAAATTCAAGAAACCTAGGACCAGTTAGGAAGCATAATAGATAGCACGACGTTTCAAAATACCGATTCGGGTAAGGATCTCTCACCCTATTCTCAGTTACGATAAATTGAGGATTAATAACCGATAATTGTGTGGTTTGTAAAAAATTAGAAAATCTTTAAATATTACAGGTCACTAGTGGAGGTAGAACCGGTTAGTTCACATTTGTCCTAATTCCCTGTTTATTTTTCTCTACTGCCTGTATTTGCTTACTATTATACTATGCGTAATTGAATTGATGGTTTTTATGGTCTTTTAAATTATTTGGTTATTTAATTCCTCCTGTATTGTTTGTTCGATATTCTGGTTATTTGGATATTTGACTATGCTAAACTATATCACTTGCTTAAGTGCCATTTGAATTAATTTGTGAATATGAAATGAGATTTTGGTATATTGTAGTGGTTGTTTGCATGATGAGAATCTAAATAAATGAAAGCTTACTGACATCCGGGGAAAGGGTAGACGGACCCAGTATATAAGAAACTTTACCGTGGACATTATCTCAATCGGACGGGGCTGAAAAATCTCATACCGGATGAGTTTTGGGAGATATAGTTCACCATCATACAGGATGGGGTATTGAGGCGATGGTCTTTTTGGCGCCCATTACCGGACGGGGTATGGGGACGACCAAGTTAATTGTTAAATCTTGATACTGGGTTCACGAGTAGAGGGATATCCCTATGGACTTCCAAATATCCCAATAAGTAGGTTAAAAAGAAAAGATTGTTGATCCTATGCATGAAATTGTTGTAATTGATTATAAAATTGGTGCATAACGCAGCACAAATTTTTTTTGTCAACCTTCAGTTTTCTGTATCAGTGATTAATGTGATATTCTTACTAAGTTAATGTAGCTCACCTTTTTGTTTACTATTTCAGATCAAGAAAATCAAAATTTAGATATCGATCAACAAGAGAGTTGTGAGTAGTTTACCTCTTGAACTTTTCAAGTACTAGTGAAGATTATCCCTAGGATATATATATTTTTTTTAAATTGTCGTTTGTCTTTATAAATCAACGTATAAAGGACATTCTCGTAACCCTATTGGACAATTTAATTTATTGTATAATGAATGTAAATCTGAATATTATTATTTGTTTATGCATTTAAAACATAAATTCATTTCTTTTAAAGTTAAGAACTTTTTACACTCTGGATCTAATCTTGCCAAAATTTGATATCTAATGTCTCTCTCTACAAATTTTTTTAAGATGGGCTGCATCTTTGCTAGAATCCATGGTAAAACTATAGAATTATTATAGTTCCAATCATCGTTAGTATTCAATGCCGTTTTTGCATGAGAAAAAAAATTATAATCCCTTATTTACTTAATTTCTAAAATTATGATTTCCTTCATTTTAACATTCTGATTTATTTTATCTTTTAACAGTTTATTTTGTTTAATTTTTAACATTCTGATTTATTTCTTATTTAATACATTAATTTATTTAATTTTTAATATTTGATTATATAAAATTTTTAAATATGAAATAATTTTTAAATTATTTATTTACGTATGTTTTGATTAATTATATTTTTTTTTATAACTGTCTTTGATAAATAGAATTATTTTAATTGATTATAAAATTGGTGCATAACGCAGCACAAAAATACAACTTAAATAAATAAATAATTTTTTTCCTCTTTCTTTTTTGATAAAATATAAAAATATCCTCTTGGGTATGACCTAGATGATGCTAGGATGTGTCAGCATCTACTGTTACTAATCTAATTGTCAAATCACAGCCGTCTGATCTTCTCGGTTCATCATCACCGATGAAATCTCTACAATTATGGCATCAGATCTCCAAATCTTTGCACACTTCATCACTTGTGAACGCTCAACAGTTACAAAAAAGACATCCTAATTTAATATATATATACACACACACACACACACACATATACATACATATATAAATTAATTTAATAAGCTGGTTAATTGTCCTTTAAATAAAAATAAAAATAAAAATAATATTGTCAGACTACACAATATTAAATTATAAAATTTTTAATTTTTAAAACTTTCTGTACGTACCACATGGTAAATAATAATACACATATATATGTATAAATATTAGTAAATTTTTAAATATAAGTAGTATTTTATATGATAAATGGGTAATATATATATATATAGAATTAAAAGTAGGATTTTGTATAATAAATAAGTAGTAATATAAATATAAATATAAGTACATGAAAAACATAATCTAAAAACTTTTATCACTTTGATTATCACGTAAAAATTAGGTAATAAATCTTGGTATTTACCCACATAAAAATCTGTTTTATATAATAAAAAGGTAATAGATACATATATATATATATATATATATAGATTTACAAGGATAAGGAATTCTTGTACTTTACTGGCTCAAATAGAAGTCTAGTATTGTTAAATTAGTTAAATAATAAAACTTCAACTGAAAAATTTTAACCCATGGAAGTTTCTATCACGGTAAATATCGAATAATTACCACACAGTAAATAAGTAATATATACATACACATATATAAACATATAGTAAATAAATATTTTTTTAATAAAAAAAAAAAAAAAGTGGTGAACAAACGGTCCGCCGCTACCACTATGACTATTAGTCCAACTCCGGAATACTTGCCTGGTAAAATTTACGCTTGACATCTTAAAATGACGAAACTACCCTTTAAAGTAAAATGACGAAAATACCCTTCCTCAAGCATAGACCAACACCTGCTCTGCTCATTTAACTGCCATGGCCACCCATCAAACGCTCTCTATAAAATCCAACCCATGCTAGCCTCCTCCTCCACCAAATAACGATTTTGCTCTTGCGAAAATCAAACACGTATATTCATATACATTTATATATATATATATACACATACACAGATACATACGTAACAGCACTCAAAGGAACAGATATGGTGGGTAACTCTAACAGAGTTGAAGATTTCTCCTGCCATGAGAACACCACTACCAACGCCACCGCCAACGCGAATGAAACTGCTATTAAGGTTTCGATAGATGTGGCAATGCCGCCGCCGCCATTGGAGGTACACCGTGTTTGTTTGCCGCCAAAGAAGACCACTCTGCAAAAACTGAAGCACAGACTATCGGAGATCTTTTTCCCCGATGATCCTCTCTACAGATTCAAAAACCAGACACCGGGTAGAAAATTCCTTCTCGCTCTGCAATTCCTATTCCCTATCTTTCAATGGGCTCCTGAGTATAATCTGAAGCTCTTTCGGTCCGATATCGTCTCTGGACTCACCATTGCTAGCCTTGCGATTCCTCAGGTATTCTCTCTCTCTCTCTCTCTCTTGGAGGTTACGTAATTAATAATTTTAATGGTGTTTTTGTCGTCTATTTCAGATTCTTCTTTTCAGTGGTGAGAACTGAGTTTTTTTATTTTATTTGAATTTTCCTTTTCCTTTTAAAAGAATGTTTGTGTTTTGTAACATTCCTTGTTTTTTTCCCCCACTTGGATTTAATTAATTAATCTTTAAGCACATGATTTTGTTGTTAATCTTCACATGAGCTTAATCTCTAATAATCTTTAATGTTCCATGTGAAAAAATTGTTTATCAATTTGTTTTTGGTTGCAGGGAATCAGTTATGCAAAACTTGCAAATTTGCCACCCATAATTGGACTCTGTTAGTACCAATTCTGGTTCTCACATTCAAATTGAATTCAATTTTGAATCAAATTCGTACAAATCAATCAATTAATGGTTGTGGGTGATATGCAGATTCAAGCTTTGTGCCCCCACTGGTTTACTCTGTTCTTGGTAGTTCTAGACATCTTGGTGTTGGTCCAGTTTCTATAGCTTCCCTGGTGATGGGATCAATGTTAAGTGAAAGTGTGTCTTATACTGAAGATCCAATTCTCTACCTCAAATTGGCTTTCACTGCTACTTTCTTTGCTGGTCTCTTCCAGGCATCTTTGGGTATCCTTAGGTATTATATGCTTCCAAATCTTTTCACTGTTCTTTTGAAATTTGAGTACATACAAAATCTTTAGCAGTTTATATCAGCAGCTCTTTGTTCAGACTATATGGGTTTGGATATAATCCCACTTGTTATAGAATCATACCTTAGTTTATGCTTTATATAGTTTATATTACTGTTGGGTAATTTTTCTTAAAGATTTTGGATTAGAATCTTACATGGGTGTGCGTGCAGGTTGGGATTTGTGATAGACTTTATGTCGAAAGCAACTCTACTTGGTTTCATGGCTGGTGCTGCTGTAATTGTCTCATTACAACAATTGAAGGGGCTGCTTGGAATTGTCCACTTCACTGGCAAGATGCAATTTGTCCCTGTCATGACCTCTGTTTTCAACCACACAAACGAAGTAAGTCTTATAGTTTTGCTCTTTTTCTTTTCAAATTCTAATACCCTTTTACTATTTTCAATTTTGTGGGGATGGGTTTAGCTTTTTAGAGTTGTTATGTCAGTTATTGGCTAGAGTCTAATGTTTATTTAACTTGAATGCAGTGGTCTTGGCAAACTATTGTGATGGGATTCAGTTTCCTTGTCTTCCTGTTGACAGCAAGACATATTGTAAGTAGCATATTCGAATTTGTTAACAAGACAAATATACTTCTCTTAGATATTTTTTGAATTTTATTTTTATTAAACATTGTTGTTTTTCATGAACTGATGTAGAGCATGAGGAAACCAAAGCTTTTCTGGGTATCAGCTGCTGCGCCGTTAACATCTGTCATTCTCTCAACTCTTTTAGTCTTCTGCATTAAATCAAAGGCACATGGAATATCATTTGTAAGTAAACCAAAAATCCCTTGCATTAAACTTAATTTCTCTAACATTCTCTAAAATCCATTTGTATTTCTGATGCACAGATTGGCCATTTGCCAAAGGGGTTGAATCCACCATCAGCAAACATGCTTTACTTCAGTGCTTCTCATCTTGCACTCGCCATCAAGACTGGCATTATTACTGGGATCTTAGCGCTTACTGTAAGTTCCTTTTTCCCAGAATTACAATCTGTTTCTTTCTAATTACATAATGTAATATAACTGTCCATGCAATTAACTAATGATTGTCACAAAAATATAGTAAAAAGTGATGCTTCACTAGACGAATATGGGTGTAGAATATGTTTGCCATTTCTAAACATTGTGTTGCTTTCACATTTTCCAGGAAGGAGTTGCAGTGGGAAGGACATTTGCTGCCCTCAAAAACTACCAAGTTGATGGCAACAAAGAGATGATGGCTATTGGCCTAATGAACATGGCTGGTTCATGCACCTCATGCTATGTTACAACAGGTTATAGTTTGATCATGTCTTGGAACTAAGATGCAAACTCAAATCAACAATTACTGAAACTCTGTTTTTTAACTGATTTTTCAGGATCATTCTCGCGATCTGCTGTGAACTACAACGCTGGAGCGCAAACTGCAGTGTCTAACATTGTAATGGCTGCAGCTGTGCTTGTTACCCTGCTGTTCCTGATGCCACTCTTTTACTACACCCCAAATGTTATTTTAGGAGCCATCATTATAACAGCAGTGATTGGGCTAATTGATTACCAGGGTGCATATAGATTGTGGAAAGTTGACAAGCTTGATTTTGTTGCTTGTTTATGTTCTTTCTTTGGAGTTCTCTTCATTTCTGTGCCCCTGGGTCTCGCTATTGCGGTAAGCATCTTAGTTTCTGCCCAGCTGTTCTTTAACTTGTATTTTTCTGCATAGATGAATAGAGATGTTGATCATTATACATCTAATAATCTGGCCCCAAAAATTCATCAGGTTTGCATTTCGATATTCAAGATTCTCTTGCACGTAACAAGGCCAAACACAGTTGTGTTGGGGAACATTCCAGGGACTGGAATATACCAAAGCCTTAGCCGATACACAGAAACTTTAAGAGTTCCTTCATTTCTCATACTGGCTATTGAATCTCCCATCTACTTTGCAAATTCCACTTACTTACAAGAGAGGTCAGTTCATGCCTGTTACATAAAAAAGCGTTGGTGGGTGATGGTGGTCATCTGATTAAAAGGGTTCTCATTTATTGCAGGATATTAAGATGGATTAGAGAGGAGGAAGAATGGATAAGCGCCGCTAATGGAAGCTTATTGAAATGTGTAATTCTTGACATGACTGGTATGTCATCGATTGAAGTAACAAAGATCCTTTAATTCCAAACGAAATGAAGCCTGTCAATCTCAAATCTTTTTGTTCTTGTTCTCAGCTGTGACAGCCATAGACACAAGCGGCATTGAAACAGTGGGAGAGCTCCGGAAGATGATGGCCAAAAGATCAATTGAGGTGAGAATTACTGAGAGTATAACTCTAAAAACATTCTTAGCTATGAGCTTTTCCAGTTCAAGCAACCAAGTTTTAGTAACTAAGGATGTCTGTGTGCTACATGTAGCTCGTTCTAGCAAACCCCGTTGCAAGTGTGATGGAAAAGCTGCACCAATCGAAAACTCTGGAGTCCTTCGGCCTAAGCAGCCTCTACCTCACGGTAGCTGAAGCCGTGGAGGATATATCTTCGACGTGGAAGGCTCAGCCATGAGTGTAATACTTGCAGGCCTCGGTAACCTGATAGGGAGAGTGTTCTGTTAAGGTTTTGTTTCTTTTAGAGGGATCTTTTTCTTGTAAGATATGTATGAGGAAACCTGAAAGATTTTGCTTTTAGTTCAAATGTAAAATCAAAGTTTTCTTAACCCATGCCAGCTGCCTCATTCTGTAGTTGCAGTTACATGTTACAAGGCTAAATCATTATGTACTTAATAAATCAACTTCTAACATCATCACAGCATAAATTCCTTTCCTATTTAGGCTCATCAAGTCATGACCCAAAATCAAAGAACCAAATACATGTATCAATTTATCTCTAATTTTCCTCATCTCCCCCTCACACCCATAAGAAACTCTTCTATTTCTCTCTTTCCAAACAACACCCACCCCCCCTCCTTATGTAAATTAAGTAGGATTAGTGTAATGGGTAATACAAGTAATGTATAGTTTTTAGATTTTCTTTTTTCTTGGGTCAAAATATTGAAATTAGATCAATTAGAAAAGATTTTGAGCTGCCCATTTTAGCCAGAGCATTAGATAAGAGTAGTAAATCACATTACATATAAATTAGGAAACTACCAAAAATAGGCTGTACTAATCCACCTTATAGAGAAATTAGGAAAGCATTTATTTGTGAACTAAATATGATGGGGATTGAGAATTAATTTGTTTACTACTGCTGGTAATGGGTGACCGCCTTGATTTTTGTTGAGGTTAATTTTTCTTGTGAGTTAGTAAAATATTTAAAAAAATGATTTTTAGTAAAATGCAATTAAGATGAAAAATAATGTAATGTTTGATAAAATTTGTTGTAAAAATTGATATTGTATTTAATTACTTATGTCATAAAATTAGTAATAAATATTGAAATAATAATAATTTAAATAATATTATTTTAAAAAAATTATAATAATTTAAGTTATTTATGATATTTATTTTGATTTCACTTTTTAATCAATATAAATATTAATTTTAAATTATACAAATAAAAAATATTGGTAATTATTTTTATCTTAGAATTATTAAATTTCATGTATAATATATATATATATATATTTCTCAATTAAAGTTAACCTCATTTTTTGTAACGGCTACATAAATTTAGAATGAAATATGTGTATTAAAAATGTCAAATGCGGAAGCGTAATAAAAATTTTGATTAACATCTTTTACACAAAAACAGAAAACGTGCTCAAAATATAGAAGAACAAACTAACTGAAAGAGATACTCGAAAATAAGAATTATAAATATAACTACGGAGTCTTTAGGCGTCCCATTCGCCGTATTCCTACGGAACGGGATCGGGAACAATGTCTTTCTGATTTGAAATAGTTGAATAAGGAATGAGCTACACCAGCCTAGTAAAGACATCACACTATCTCACCGTCACGGAGGTAAAGGTGAGTAGAAAACACAAAAAAGACCAATGGAGCATAATTTATAACAAATTCTTTTATCAATAATAAAATCCTTTACTGTCCACTTATCTCGGTGAGATCCATAAAACAACATATGAAAACAATAACATTATTATCATCATGAAATCATATGAACAGTATAACATAATACTTACCATGCCTTTGCATTTCAATCATTAAACAACACATTTTCCTAATTTACCAGCCTATTAGTATCCACGAGGATCCATAGGGGTCCCGCTACCCGTGAACCCTTAACATTTATAACCTGATTCCAGAGCCGTCCCCATACCCCGTCCGGTATGGGCACCAAAACCATGAACCTCAATACCCCGTCCGGTATGAGGGTGAAATGGGCCGTCCCCATACCCCATCCGGTATGGGCGCCAAAACACAGAAGGTCTCCATACCCCGTCCGGTATGAGAGACCACGTTCCCGGTAGAGTTCCCTACGGACCAGGTCCGTTCATCATCTCCCAAGATATCTAGTCAGGCTGTCAACATTATCCATTTATCAATTCACGTAACCTTTTATTCTTTTTTTCCTCAGTCACCATCATCAAATAACACACAAACATGCAAACCAGTAGTTTATGTCAAACAAGACAACACACAACATCGGGTTCTCAGTCATTCAACCCATAATCAATAAAACAGTTATATATGCACACGAAACTATGAAATGAAAACATCAGACATCATACTGCATTTAAAACTGTAAAATAGAACAAACAACAACTGATCGACAAATACACTAGACTCGGGCTCCATTAGCGACCTTAAACAATTTCACACATCTATTGATTCATGAAATACCGTTTTATCATTTATTGAACTTTAATACCGTGATAGGAAATAGGGTGAGGGGTCCTTACTTGTTTCGGGGTCTGAATACGGCTCTACAGTGCGCCTACAGGCTGTCCCTAATTTTCCTGAATTTTTTTCGGAAAACTGAAACGCACTACCGGTACTTGCACGTGTCCCAAAAAAATTCCAAATCAGACCTAGGGCCCCTTTCGACCAATATCGCAATTCCGGCACGGCGGCTTCGCCGTGCTCCGGCGACGGCGCCACCGCAAGCGGCGGCGATTCGCATTGGCTTGGTCGTTTTCGGCCGAATTCGGCCACGCTTGCATCGGTCCCTGCGATAGAACAACCCTAGGGCCCTCGGTGGGCCTAAAAATCACGAAAAACCGAAACTTACCGGCAGCGGTGCTCTCGAGTGCGGCAGCTCCTCCGGTGTGAGTCGCGTTTTGATGTTTGGCTCCGATCAAGCTGTAGAGAAAAGAACGGTGATCACAGTGGTATAAAATTTGCATTAAATGGAGGCCGGGAAGGGCCTCATCGGAGGCAAAAACGAGGGGGGGGGGGCGTGGCGGCGCCGCTGGGTTTCGACTATGTTTTTCGGCTGTTTGGCTGGTGGTTTGGCTCCAGTTTGGCCATATACGGACTCAGTTTCGAAAAACGATCAGGTAAGAAAAAAATTCACCTCAATCGGCGGTCGAAACTTCCCCGTGCGGCGGCGGGTGCGGCGGCCGGCTCTCCGGCGTCTGGTTCTTCTTCTCCGGCGAGCACTGGCGGCTAGGGTTTCTGTGGTCAGGTGTGGTGGGGTTATTTATACCCTTTGCCTTTTAATCTCAACTGTCCATCAAGATTAAATCTGGACCGTTCGATCGCGATTTAATTGGGATTAAATCTGGGCCGTCCATCGCGATGCAATCTGGACCGTCCGTGCCTGATTGAATCTGGGCTGTCCGTGCGCGTGAATCTGGGCCGTCCGTGTGCGCGGGAACGGATCTGGGCCGTCCGATCGCGCGCACGCGGATCGCCCACGTGGCCCGTCCCCTGGTCAGCATTTCCTTACCACGCGGTGCGTCCTGGTTGGCCGGGGCTGCTGACTGGGCCGCTGACGTGGCTGCTGACGTGGTGCTGACGTGACACAACTTTTCTAAATTGTATTTTGACCCCCGGTTTCTGATTTTCTTTTTAAAAACACCCATAGAATCTAAATTTTCACTTTTTTTTTTTTCAAAATCAATTTCAATTAAATTCAAATAATATTTTTACCCAATTTTATCATTATTATTATTTTTATTTTCATCAAATTAAATTAAATTAAATTAAATAAAAAATCAAATAAAATTTCAATAATTACAAAATAAAATAAATTGAAAAAAAAATAATAATAATAATACACTTGAGGTGTTACATTTTTGTCAACAAGGTTAAATGATATACCAAAAAACTCTAACCCATAAATAAGTAATGAGAAAACTCCAAGTTCTCCAAAGTTTTGTCAGAATTACCATTTGGAAGACACCTTGAACATACACAAAGCACATATCTCCAAATTTTCTTCTTTTATCTACTCTATGGTTGAATTCAAACTTATGTTATGCCCTTGCATCCCATTGTTAGGCTTCCATAGTTGATAAAATTTATTTACTGATATAGTCTTTGAGGATATGAGTTAACCTGCAATTATCTTATTTCAGTTATAGTTTTTTTTCTTGAAGATTTGGAAGTTAGTATAACTTTTATGCGTGAAAGATTCCTTGTATGTGCAACTATGGAGTTGATACTTTCCAAGTCTTTTTTTATATCTGTATTGAAGATGAGTGAACACTGATGTCAAAGAGTAAAATGGAACTAGCTTCGTAAAACCGACAAGACGAGTCATAAAGGAGGTAAAGGCCTCAAGACAAAGAGGATTTCTGTAAAAGGTGAGAATTTTTAATGTTTACTTCTCTCAAGAATCCCTAACAAATAGAAAGTTAAATTGCCCATTTTAGAAGATCACCTGGATGGTACATGCATTAAGTTACATGTAGACACCAAATAGAGCACCCATATTGGAAGAAAGCCACTTTATAGTATCTAATTTCTTTCCCACGGGTTGATATATGCAGTGAAAGAAAAAAAAAACATGTAAAGGACAGACGGACAGACAAAAAGAACAAAAATGGGTAAAGTCACACCAAGCATTCACCAGTCAAAGATAAACAATACCAAGTACTCATATAGCCATACCTATACTAAGGGAGTCAGAATATAAAAGGATCAAGCGAAAATTAGAGCCTCCACAGTCCACACGATGAGGGGAAGATTTGTCATGGGAAGAACAGGATTTCTTGAACTCATGGTCAAATTTAGAAAGGAGTAAAGAATGAGAGGACAAGCCCTAGGAGAGAAGACCTAAAATTGGGAAAATTAAGTGAATGAGAAGATAGGGACCTATTCCCCCTTTTATAAGCCCGCTGCATGATAACCCAAAAACATGACAAATGCTGAAAAATATGGTACTTGATATAAAATCATCACCTGTGGTAAAATAAATTAGACAAACACTGTCTTAGTACTACATCAGGAATGAGTGCTTCTATCAGATTCAGGCCAGATTGTGCACAGAACATTATGCAACACAATCACACACACACACACTAAAATTGTCCACTGAGGACTTGAGCCCAAATTTCAGTCGTGTATTTTTGAGCTTATCATAAATTTCCACAAGTCCAATTTCTAAGAAGTTTCATATTCCCATATTCTAGAATTTAGAAACAAGCTACCCAAAAGGCTTATGCAGCCTAACTTTCACAGCTTCATGGAGAGAAGTAAACAAAACAAAATCAGGAGCTTTTGAGCATATCATCAGTAAAAAAGTACTGCGTGAGAGCAGGAAATGACTTTAATTTTATTTGGTCAAGTACAGAAGACAACTATATTTAAAAATATGTCTGAACTTCATAACATCTAGAGAAGGAAAAAAAAAAAGTAAGGGAGTTTTCCTAATGCATTATGTGTTTTTATTATC